AAAAAAAAAAAAAAAAAAAAAAGATGGAAAGAGGAGAGAGAGACATAGAGACAAAGAAAGACACAGTGACACAAAAGACAAAGAAGTAGGAACTCAGTAGAGGATTTAAATAAATGACTGAGTGAAGGAGTTAGAACAACTCAGTGAATGAGTGAGTGTGTCATGGGGTCACAGACGAACACATGACCCAAGCTAAGCCCATGAGAATCATTCCTGGGACTTTTGCTGAAATTCTCAGAAAGTAGCACTCTTTTTAAAAAAAAATAAACCCTGGGGTGGTAGGTGTTATGTGCAGCTTTGGAGGACCCTTCTATGCCCATGAGGGGAGAAGCTGGCCGAGAGCGACACTAACGCAGAAGGAGAAATAAACATAGTTGCAACACCCTCAGATCCTGGATCCATCTGTGCCTGACCTGATTCATTATGGGAGCAAATAAGTTTATTTTTGACTAGTTTTATGAGCGAGCTTAAGCCAATAACAGAAGCAGAGAAGAGCAGGAAGCACTCCCCCCACCCCACCACACCCCCGACTGTGCTCTGGTCCTGGTAGGGCGTCCCCATGGGAGTCCAGGTCTCTTACCAGGGCAGTGGCACCCACGAGGGACTCCTTGGCCAGGGCATGGCGCAGGGCAGAGAAGAGACCCATGCTGTTTTGTCTCAGATAGAGCACCTCACCCACGCCACCTGTGAAGTCCACAAAAGCCTCATTCATGTGGCCGCCCCGCATCACCTCGTAGGAGCCGTGGAGCCTGTGGGGGCAGATCTGGGGTGAGGGTTGAAGCCAGTAAAAGCATCTCAGGTACCCCTGTCCTGGGATCGGCAGGGGCCTCTATCTCAGGGTGTGGAATCCCTGGGGGCAATTCCTGAAGTTTTGAGACTTTTCTCAGGGTCTCACTCTGTGGCCCAGGCCGGAGTGCAGTGGCATGAACTCAGCTCACCGTAGCCTCAACCTCCTGGGTTCAAGCAATCCTCCTCCCACCTCAGCCTCCCAAGGAGCTGGGACCACAGGTGCACACTGCCACACCCAGCTCAAAAATTTTGACTCGAGATGGGGAACTGTGGCACACACACAAACCCTTGGAGATTGGGCCTGTGGTCCCGTGGGCCCCCAGGACTTCGGTTTGGCAGGGGGCAGGGGAGAGCTTTGTTAGAATTATGACAGTCTGCCAGGCGCAGTGGCTCACGCCTGTAATCCCAACACTTGGAAGGCTGAGGTGGGTGGATCACAAGGTCAGGAGTTGGAGACCAGCCTGGCCAACATGGTGAAACCCCATCTCTACTAAAAATACAAAAATTAGCTTGGTATGGCGACAGGTGCCTGTAATCCCAGCTACTCGGGAGGCTGAGGCAGGAGAATTGCTTGAACCTTGGAGGCAGAAGTTGTGGTGAGCTGAGACCATGCCTTTGCACTCCAGCCTGGGTGACAGAGCAAGATTCAGTCTCAAAAAAAAAAAAAAAAAAAAAGAATTCTGTCAGTTCTGGTACTGTGTCTGAAACCTTGAGCCTCTGGGAGATGTCCGCTTTGGGGGTCATCTGTATGGGGGCTTGTCAGGAATTTCAGAGCCTCAAAATGGGGAAAAGGCAAAGATTTGAGGGTCCCAAAATGACACCCAATATTTTGGGGGTGCTTTGGATTTCTCACGGACCAGGAGAGACAATCTAAGAATACAGGTCACCTGAGGGGATAAATCTCAGATTTGGCGAATCCAGGGCCTGATATTTGAGATTTCAGGATCCTTAAGAATTATGGGTGACTGGGGGTCTCCAGGAATGTTTTCTGTGAAATATTGATAGATGGAGAGACGGGTTTAAGATTTGAAGATACAGCCGGGCACGGTGGCTCACACCTAGTAATCCCAGCACTTTGGGAGGCTGAGGCAGGTGGATCACCCGAGATCAGGAGTTGGAGACCAGCCTGGCCAACATGGTGAAAACCCATCTCTACTAAAAAATACAAAAATTAGTCAGGCGTGGTGGTGTGTGCCTGTAAACCCAGCTACTCGGGAGGCTGAGACAGGAGAATCGCAGGAACCAGAGAGGCAGACTTTGCGTTGAGCCGAGATTGCACCACTGCACTGCAGCCTGGTGACAGAGCGAGACTCCATCTCAAAACAAACAAACAAAAAACAAAACAAAAATGATGTGAAGGTGCCCAGGGCTGCTGGGATATTAGGATTGCGGGGTTGTCACTTGGCTTGGGATTCTTGGGAGGTGTGTGGAGGACTGAATAGCTTGGGGGACTCTGGGCCCCCCGGTGGCTTGGTGTCTGCTGTGGGGACTTGGGCTGCAGCTGGGAGGAACTGGAATCCTCACTTGGCGTAGGCCTTCTCCAGGAGTGGGGCCCAGAACTCGTTCCGCTGTTCCGAGCGCACGAACATCAGCTTCCCCTCACGCACGGGCAGCCTGTCATCCACCACGACGTCCACCCAGTGGCCGAACTGCCAGAGCTGGCGGGAAAAGACGCAGGGCCGGGCTCGGCTTCCGACAGCCAGCCCTGCCTGGGCCCTACCTCTGAGCCCTGACGGCTGTGCCAGTCCCAGAGTCATGAATTACAGCCCCAAGTCTGTGTTAACTATGAAATCCGTATCACCGTGTCACCATGGGGGAAACTGAGGCATGGGCAGAGGAACTGAGCTGTACCTGGAAGTGGAAGACGCCTGCGTAGCCATGCTGGAAATCCTGTCTGGGAGGGACCACCCGGTGCAGGAGCCGGGGGTGCAGAGTAAGGGAGGCGGCAGCCGCAAGAAACCAGCAGTTACCTGGGCGGAGAAGCCAGGGTTAGGTAAGGATGGAAGGAGGGAGGCTGGGCATGGTGGCCCACGCCTGTAATCCCAGCGATTTGGGAGGCTGAGGCAGGAGGATCACTTGAGCCTAGGAGTGCGAGACCAGTCTGGCCAACATGGCAAGACTCCATCTCTACTAGAAAATTTAAAAACGAAGGCCGGGCGCGGTGGCTCAAGCCTGTAATCCCAGCACTTTGGGAGGCCGAGGCGGGTGGATCACGAGGTCAAGAGATCGAGACTATCCTGGTCAACATGGTGAAACCCCGTCTCTA